GAGGACGACTCACGAAAAAGCCGATCTGCAAGGCTCTTTCTTTGCGTCCAATTCGACTCTCGATGACGGGGGGAGTATTCCGCCGAGTATCCCGCGTTGTGACTGCTCCATGCCAGAATTGTAGTTCACACAGCGTTCGGTTCGCAAAGCACTCCTCTCCTTGGACATCCACAAGTCGAGTGGGCCGTACGTAATCCCCCCAATTGTGCTGACGACGTGTGCTCCAGAGTTGGTACCGGTTCTAACGTGTCTTTTCCGGTACTCCTACTCCCTAGGCGTAGTTCCAAAATCATGAAAGACGGCTTTCGTCCACCTGATCCCTAAAAAAGGTGACCGCTCAGATCCGTCCAACTACCGGCCTATCGCCATCACCTCCTTGTTCTCCAAAACAAGGTACCTCATGAGCTGGCAGTTTACAATGGACTCCCATTGTAAACTGCCAGCTCATGAGGTACCTTGAGGATCACCAGCTGACCGCCAATACGGTTTTCGCCGTGGTCGGTCAGCTGGTAATCTTCTGGTCTACCTAACTCACAGATGGGCGGAGGCAGTAGAGTCCAAGAGGGAGGCATTGGCCGTTAGTTTGGACATTGCGAATGCCTTCGATCTGGTTTGGCTCAAAGCGCTTCTTTTGAAACTCCCTTCCTATGGGCTTCCCGAGAAATTATGCGATTGGATCACCAGCTTTCTTGCAGATCGGGGCATCAAGGTCGTTGTAGACGGTGCAAGCTCCAATTGCAAGCCTATTAATGCTGGTGTTCCACAAGGCTGCGTGCTATCGCCAACGCTGTTTCTTCTGCATATCAATGATATGTTGCGAACCCGTAACATTCATTGCTATGCAGATGACAGCACTGGTGATGCTCTTTACACCGGCCGAGCCAATATTTCTCGGGAAAACGTCTCCAAGCGCCAGGACAAACTTGTGTCTGAAGTCGAGTCTTTGCTGAACAGAGTCTCAGATTGGGGGCGACTAAATCTAGTCCATTTTAATCCCCAGAAAAAACAAGTTTGCGCGTTAACCGCTAAAAAGAACCCCTTTGTCGTATCTCCTCAGTTTCAAGGCACTCCCCTTGTTGCCTCAGCCAGTATCGGAATTCTCAGCGTCGACATATCGAGCGACGTGCAGTTTCGTGGTCACTTGGAAGAGAAGGCCAAATTGGTCTCTAAAAAGTTTGGCGTGCTCAGCACAGCGGGACAGTATTTCATGCCGGCACACCGCCTGCAACTTTACAAGGCGCAGGTTCAGCCGCACATGGAATACTGTTCCCATCTCTGGGCTGGAATCCCCAGTACCAGCTCCTTCCACTTGACCGCATCCAGCGCAGAGCGGCTCGAATCGTCGACGACCGAGTGCTTTCCGATCGGCTCTATTCACTGGCACTGCGAAGAGATGTTGCATCTCTTTGCATTTTCTTTCGCATATACCATGGAGAGTGCTCTGGGGAATTGTTCGGATTAATCCCAGCCGCCAAATTTCGTGAACGCACTACGCGGCAAACGTCCCGATACCATCCACACCATCTGGATGCTTGGCTGTCCACCACTGTACGTTTCAAAAGGAGTTTCCTTCCGCGTACAACCTCTGTGTGGAATAATTTACCACCTGCGATTTTTCCGGATCGATACGACCTGGGGACCTTCAAGAAAATAGCTTTCTAAAGGCCCGGCAACGCACCTGCAATTCCCCTGGTGTTGCGGTTGAACATGGGCGGCGGTAGTCACTTAACATCAGGTGAGCCGCATGCTCGTTTGCCCCCTCTTCTATAAAAAAAAACTTAGGGAAAACGTGTAGCCCTAACTGAATATAATAAAGAAATTAGGAAAGCCAAGAGAGCATTGTGGAGGAAGCTATGCGAGGAAGTTGAGTCTTTGCCTCGCAGTGCAATGCTACACAAAATGCTTTCGAAAGCGAAACCTAACCATATCGGACTTCTTAAAAAGCCTGATAGTAACTTCACTAATAGTGAAACAGAAACATTGGAGTTACTAGCGTCAACCTATTTCCCAGGGTCACTCAAGACCTCAGCCTTTAATTCTTTCAGAGCCCTACGAAGGCCTTGTAATGAGGACTGGTGTAGGTCTGCAAAGATAATAAGGCCAAACCTGGTGCAATGGGCTGTTGACTCCTTTAAACCATTTAAAATAAGCGGGGAGGATGGAATAGTTCCCATCCAACTGCAGATGGGTATTGACATTATTCTTCCCTATCTGGTGAAAATCTTCAGAGCAAGTTTTGCCTGGGGATATATTTCAGAACGATGGACAATTGTCAAAGTTCTATTTATACCTAAGGCTGGTAGAAAGGACAACGCTTTACCAAAGTCCTTTCGACCTATAAGCCTATCTTCCTTTCTCATTAAGATATTGGAAAAGGTTATAGATAGACATATAAGGGATGTAGCTCTAGCTACGAGGCCCACAAATAACAACCTGCTTACCGCAGAGGCAAATCTACGGAAACAGGCCTGATCAGTGTTATTGAGAGGGTCGAAAAAGCAGTGGAGGATAAAGAAATAGCTCTTTGTGCTTTTCTAGATATTGAGGCCACCTTCGACAGTAGCCACACATCACTACTGATGGGTAACAATCATCAGATGGGTGAAGTCGATGCTCTCAAACAGAAAGGCAAAAATAGCGCTGTTTTAAACTTCGATTGAGGTTGCAACTACAAGAGGCTGCCCACAAGGAGGTGTTTTGTCACCCCCTCTTTGGACTCTTGCGGTTGACCAACTATTGTACAAAATGGCAGACCTACGCATTGACACACCGGGTTATGCTGTTGACCTTGTGATCACTGCGAGGGGCTTTTGCCAAAGCACTTTATCGTCAATAATACAAAGAGCCATAAACTCCATAAATAACTGGTGTAGGGATAACAGTTTATCAGTTATTGCTGATAAAACTGTTATAATTTTTATCAACATTAACTTAACCCTTTACCAAAAAGAGACGGTTGGACAAGTTAGTCCAACCAAAACTTAACGGTAAAGAAGTACTATTTTTCACGGAAATTAAGTACTTGGGCGTAACAATCGACCAAAAACTAACGTGGAACTCTCACCTTAGCAATATATGCCATAAGGCAAAAATTGCTTTAGGTACGTGCAGTCGTTTGGTCGGGAACAAATGGGGCTTGCGTCCTAGTATGGTCCTATGTCTGTACAGCAGCATAGTGAGGCCGATTCTTACCTACGCCTCTATTGTCTGGTGTAACAAGGCCAACCAAAAGACGACTGCGGACAGACTAAATAGTCTACAAAGGACTGCCTGCTTAATGGCAACTGGAGCTATGCGATCATCGCCTGGAGCGGCTCTTAATGCACTTCTATGCCTAACGCCCCTTGATCTCTATCTAGACAAAGAGGCGAGGGCTAGTTTGTATAGGATTAACGCCCAGGGCGGTCTGAGCCTGCTCTCCTACAGATTGAGATCCATGCTCGACTCAATTAGGGAATCACCGGTCTTATGCATGATCTCAGATATCATGCGTCCACTACACACTTTTGACAAAAAGTATATAGTGAAATTACCCTTCAAAGAAGACTGGCTGAATGGCCAGGTTGTCTGTGCGGTCGGTAGCGTCATATGGTATACTGATGGGTCTAAAATTTTCGCCATACTTCGTTGTGCGGAAATCAATCTGCAAAAACACTACGTCAACCATATAATTTACAAAAACTCTGATAGTCAGGCAGCACTGCTAGCGCTGAGGTCAAACTTAGTAAACTCGAAGCTAGTTGGAGACTGCATGCGCCCTGGGATGTAACAACAGCGTCGTTTTAAGATGGGTTCCGGGTCACGAGGGTATTGTAGGCAACAAATTTGCCGACGAACTTGCACGGGAGGGCTCAAAGTGCACACACTTTGGACCTGAGCCATTTTTTGGAATCCCAAGATGCCTAGCCCGATTGACCCTTGAAACTCTTTATCACAATAAATCACTTAAGACCTGGTTTGACAAACCAGGCTTAAAGCATTCTAAAACCTTAATCCGGGCTTTTGATCGTAAATTCGCTTCAGAAGTCATGGGATTAAGTAAAAATAAATTGCGCATTCTGTCAAGAGCCCTAACTGTACACTGATGTCTTAAAAAGCACATGTCCATCCTTGGACTAAGCAACTCAAGGATGTGTCGGTTCTGTTCCATAACGAAAGAAACGCCTCTACATATCCTAACTGATTGCGGACCCTTAATACGCAAATGTAACACTCATCTGGGAAACTATATAATCCGCCCAGAAGAAGTGAAACTGCTCACGGCTAAGCAACTCCTTCTATTCATTAAGTGAGTTCGTTGAGCGTCTTTGTAGTTAACATCTGTGACAGTTTGCTCCGCATATAAATAAGTTCATTGTAGTAAAAAGTAAATTACTAGTGTGTATTTTGTAATTATCTTAAAGTTTTTGATCTGGGCTGTTTAGTAGTCACAAATCACAATCAAATCACTTTTACATTTCGCGTTTTAACATTTAAGTTATAAGCAAATACATTAAAAAAATTGTTTTCGGCCATTACGTACTGACCTACGACAACCCACAGCGCGCTCGCTGCTGTGAATCACCGACACCCGTTGCTGGCCGGCCGCCGTTGAGTGCATCAAGCTGTGTAGTGGTCGAGATGTCACGCCAAGTAAACTGTGCAGGATGCCGCGGTGTTATTATGGAAGACAGCGCATTCATGAGGTGCGCAAAATATAAGCAATATTTCGATATTATGTGTGCCAATTTTAATGTGGAAGAGTTTGCAATAATGACATCAGAATTTAAAAAGATGTGGATATGTTTCGAAATCCGTAGCAAAATACCTAAGCTTGATAATTCACATACGCCAGTGCGCCAGCAGTTGAGCCATGATATGGCTGCCGTTGATGATTGTTTGGATGTATCGATGTATGCCCCAGATAATATCACGTTCCGAAACGGGAAACGTCCTGCGCAATTAGTGGCGTTGAAAAGTGACCCCAAAACAAGGCCCCTGTAGTACAGGAAATAAAGCAAATGCAGGACGACTTCGAATCGCGCCTTACCATGAAAATTTGCGCACTACTCAACGAGCAATTTAATGAATTCAAGACTTCGGTATTTGAAAAAATTGGCAATTTAACCTATAAGATTGACAAGATAGAAGAAAGAATCCTAAAAATGGACAAAGATAATAGTGAATCAACGCAGGGATATGTATCGGCTGTACAGTACCCATTGAACCTAGATAATGGGAAGACTAAGCCGAAAGTAAAATCTGGCCCTCAGGAGAAAAATAAGGTAGCTTTGGGCAAACCTAATCCACTCGCAAAAGTAAACACACTCATCTCTTCTTTAGCGCCAGTTTCAACTTTAGTCTCTGATTCCAACACTTCGATTCTGAGTGTAAGCCGTGAGACAACTGTTGCTCCCCGGGATGGATGCAGGTGGATGGATGGAAAAAGACCCGGAAGAATGGATACAGGTGAGACGTAAAACTGGACGCGCATCGCTGCCTGGCGTGCTTCGCGGTACTGCAGCGCTGGGGGTTACGAAACTGCGTGCATCTGAGAGATGGAGGTACTTGCATCTCTATTATGTTCAAGAGGGTACCACAGTAGAGGAGGTGCGTGCTCATCTCTACTCTATTAGTGGAATTAATGATTGCACAGTGGAAGAACTGAAAGCAAGGGGACGTTACTCATCGTTCAAGCTTGGAGTCCCGTCAAGGATTAGCGAGAGTGTTATGTCACCAAAGAATTGGACTTAAGACATCTGTTTAAAACCGTGGCGGCAGAACTTTCGTGCCATGAAAGAAAGTGCGTAACCTATATTTCTGTTATCAAAACGTTAGAGGTCTACGTACAAAATCGGATACTTTTAGGAATAATGTGATTCAATACAACTTTGATGTTATAGCCTTGACTGAAACCTTTTTGAACAGTTCCGTATTTGATGGCGAATTATTTACTTCGGAGTATTTAGTCGTACTAAAAGACCGCACAGGGGACGTTGGGTGGGGAGGTGTGCTCCTTGCTGTACGAAACTGCTATACGGTGCAACAAGTAACTAATGTAGATGCCTATACTTCTGATATGGAACTGCTTTTCGCTATTATTGGTGGAAAATGTGTTGGAAAGTTTTTATGTTGTGTCGTTTATTTGCCTCCTAAATGTAGTGATAATCTATATCTCAACGTATTGACGTGCATTGAAAATGCTATCATTGCATATTACTATCTTAATGTCCTAATAATAGGTGATTTTAAGTTTGAATTCTTGTAGTGTTAATGTTAAGGATAATTTTAATTCATTTTGTGACTATTGTGGGCTTCAGCAACATAATGTTATGTATAACAAATGTGATGGCATGTTAGATCTCGTGTTGAGCAATTTTAACCCGGAGCTGGTCTTAGTGTCCGAGGGTTCAGAACCCTTAGTACCAATTGATAAGTATCACCCCCCGCTGGAGGTGATGCTTAGGGTTCAGTGCGACGCGCAGGTCCAGTCACCATCCTCTCCACCGCTGGCTCAGCGCCCGGGAGCTGCTCCAAACTGGAATTGGCGTAAAGCAGACTTTCTGAGCCTATACATAGCATTAAAAAGTATAGATTGGTCGGACATGTTTGTAATTGCAGACGTTGACGACGCAGTTGCGTTATTCTATCACCGTCTTTATAATTGTATCAGTCAATATGTTCCAACTAAATCCCCTTACATGCCGAATTATAAGTACGTATATCCAAAATGGTTTAATGCTGATATTATATGTAATATACGTAAAAAATATTATCATTTGAAACGGTATAAGGCTATATGAAGGTAAAGAGTTCAACAAGGAATTATTTAAATACTATAGATGGCATGTTAAAAACTTGATTGACAATGCATATAAGCAGCACTTACATCTGACTCAACAAAATATAATTAACGACCCGGCCAAATTCTGGAAGTACGTTAAGAATAGGAAGAATCATAGTCAGCGTATGAACGTTTATTCTTCCAGTGGTGTCGAAGTTGTTGGGCAATCTGCGGCCGACGCTTTTGCGAAATATTTTAGTTCGGTATATCAGAACGAAGTTCCTGAACTGGAGCATGTTGATGCGGTACGTGTTGCAGACAGTCAATATGACTCCACCTGTATCACCATAAATACTGTTGACAATACCAAGCTGAAGGAAGCAGTAAGGCGGCTAAAACCGAGGTCAACGTGTGGCCCTGATGGTATCCCTGTTTTTTTAGCAAAGCACTGCATATCCACCTTTGAGAGTCCGCTCCTGTACCTCTAGAAATTTGGAAAGTAGGGTTACTCCGGTTCCAAAAACTAATTTCTAAAAATTGATTAAAACTACTTTTACGGATTTTATCGCGTTTATTTTTACTTTTAATTACTTTTATTTTTAATTCCCGACGTTTCGGACGCTTTCCAGCACCCATGGTCACGGGGGACTGAGATGACTGACGTCCCGATGTCATTGTTAAACCCGGAGTACCTTCAGCTTTTTTAATTATTGTTTATGGTCCGATCTATGCAAAATGCACTGACTATGTCCTGAGGTCTTGCAGTGGTATGCTTGGGTTTAGTTTTAATTTTATTGATTATAGGATCTCAAGCAGGTGGTAGTACCCAGCCTCCTTCGCTATTGAAATTAGGATGTTTTTTTAATTTCAATAGCCTCACGTATCATCCTTGGTAGGAATCGGTGTTCTTTCGCGAGGATTTGTGGTCTATCAAATCTGATGTAATGGTTGGGGCCGTCTAGGATATGATCACAAACTGCAGACTTCCCGGAACGTTGATGCTTCACATCAGCTATATGTTCTTTTACGCGGGTCCTAATTGATCTTTTTGTTTGTCCTATATAAGAGAGACCACATTCACAATCAAGCTTGTACACTCCTGCATCTTGTAGAGGAATATGACACTTGACGGATGGTAGGAACTGACTAATTTTCTTCGGCGGCTTGTAGAATGTTCTAATAGAAGCTCGCTTCAAGATATAGCCAATCTTGTCTGTGACACCTCTGACATATGGTAGTACAGCAGGCACACGCTCGAGCGCTCGACTGTTGCCGGCTTCACTCGTTCACTGTGACGTAGGCGCGGGACCCGAAGCTTGTTGTCGTGCAGAACTTGCTTGACGTGCTGAAGCTCGGCGGCCAGGTGTTTGCTGTCACAGATCCCTCGTGCTCTCTGTAACAAAGATTTGCCCACGGTAGCTAACTGTGAAGGATGGTGGTGAGATTCACCGTTTAAATATCGGTTTGTATGGGTCTTTTTCCTATACACAGTGTGACCAATGGTGTTATTAGGATTTCGGATGACTAACACATCTAGGACAGATAAGGAATTATTTGCCTCTAACTCTATAGTAAATTCAATTTTAGAGTTTATGGAATTAAGATGTTCTAAAAATGCAGTTACTTTGTCTGATGGTAAAATTGTGAAAGTATCGTCTACGTACCGCTTGTAGATCCTTGGTGTAACAGATGCAGTAAGGAGGGCTTTCTTCTCAAAGTCTTCCATGAATATATCGGCGACAATGGGAGATACAGGTGAGCCCATCGCAACACCATCTACTTGCTTGTAAAACTCTTCCTTCCACAATAGATAGCCAGATGTAAGGCAATGTCTTAGTAATACTGCATATTCTGCTGGCATGTTATTTTCCTCTAGTTTCCTAGTTATAATTGAGATGCAGTCTTCAACAGGTAGGCATGTAAATAGAGACTGAACATCAAAACTGACCATGGTTTTATTGTCAGTAAGATGTAGGTCTTTTATCTCACTGACAAAATGGTATGAATCCTTAGTGTGTGCTCTTGTGTGTCCTCTGAGTGGTGATAATATTTTAGCTAAGTATTGAGCCAATCTGTAAGTTGGCGAATCAATCTGACTCACTATTGGACATAATGGAGCATTCGGTTTGTGTATCTTTGGTAACCCATACAACTTCGGTGGTTTGGCACATGAAGGTATTATCGAATTAACGTCCAGATTCAATTTTAAGGAGTATTTCTTAATTAGATCGCTAGTTGTTTTAAGCGTATTAGTTGTAGGGTCTGTTTTGATCTTTCGATAAGTAGTTTCATCCGACAAAAGTTGTAGTATTTTAAAATTGTAATCTGACGTATCCATTATAACCGTAGAATTACCTTTATCTGCACGGAGAATCGTAAGCTCTGGTCTGTTGCGTAAGTTTTTCAACGCGTTAAATTCATTTTTGGGAAGTTTTAATTTCGGCGCTGAACTTCGACAGCTTTTCTAAAAATTGATTCTTTATTATTCCAAGCAGAGTTTATTTAATATGCGCTATGTCTATATGCAGTCAAAGATTATGTTTATTTTTTTTATTTATTATAAAAACAGTAACAGCACGATAACAGTACAAGACCAGATGGTAAAGCGCACAGACTTTGTTTATAAAAGGTAATTTATTCTTGACTTGAAGGCACCCACATTGTAATCGTATGGGAAGAAAAATTCTGGCAAATTATTGTACTCCTGTGCTGTACGCATAACGAACGCACGGACTACCTAGCAAACCGTTAGGTTTGAATGCGTTGACTACAAATCGATAGAAACTGGTAATTTTATATTTTTGTAGTCACTCAGGTCTAGATAGCTAATTAGTAACCATATTTTCTTTCACTGTATGTTCAACGTTTTACAACATGTAAAATTTTTTTCATTTCTTTCATAAGAATTTGCTTGTTACTAAAATCTAAGTTATAACAATATGCCTTGAAAAAATTATTCTCCAGAAGGTCATAAGATTTTTGTTGACTTTCATAGTATGTATATACATTGTATAGAAATTGGTTGATGGATTTTTATACGAACGTATTAATATGTACGTATAAGATCAATGTTAAATTTCAATGAAGTACGCTGATAAATAATAAAAGGATGGAATCCATCATTTTAATTTATAAAATTGCACTAGTTTAATAAAATGTTTCAGGAATATAATGACATAAATAATATTCTACGTATGTTTTTTAGGTTGGGTCGTAACTTTCATCTTAAAAAGGAGCAAACATTTTTATAAAATATCGTAGTGTTCTTTTATGAAGACTTAAAACATAGTTCCATAGTAAAAGTTTATGCACGTTGAAAAGTTTTTAATATGTATTCATGAACCGAAATTTATCGAAGTTGCTGACAACCTACAAGTAACATGCACTCGACTCTCCGTTGTACATTGGGGCACGGTACAAAATGCAATATTGCTCGTTAAAACCACTTGACCGGGAGGTCTTGCCGTTATACAGGCTGTTTTATTACAACCGAGACACTTTACGGAGCGAAGATTAAAATAACAGGGAGATATTTTTCAAGAATACTCACCTGCTATGCTTTACAAGCTGTAATATGATCCTAGATGAAAATATTTCTTTTTCATGGCGAAAGAAAACTAAATTGCGAAGTAAGTATATAAGAATAAAAAATACGACTTATAAAACAAACAATTTGTATAAGAACTCAATAATCTTATTACATTTATTACTTATTATATTTTAGTTATTTAAAGATGAGATATTGTTGGTATATATATATATATATATATATATATATATATATATTTAACATATTTAATATATAATTTAAGAGTTGAGCCGTGATAGTTTTGGGCTTGCAGTAAATTGCACAGTACTGGGACAACTCGGGCTTGATCTCCGACGGCATCAATAATATTGCAAAGTTCAATTGTAATAGTAAGGTAGACTGGTAGATAATGCCTCAGGCATTATCTACGCCTATATACATTTAATGTGTATATGAAGTTAAATAAATAAATAATTTACCACTTGCTCGGCGGTGAAGGATGTCTGAGTTTTAAAGTATTTTGAGTATAATATGTAAAGTCCTCCAACATATATTGGAAGAGTGCAGAGTTCATTGCTCCATAACTCTATCAGAAATAAAAAGAGGTTTGTCTTCATCCATCAGTGGACGTTTAGAGGGCATAACTATATATTTTTTAAATCCCGCTATTAAAATTGAGAGTTTTAAAAAATAGGGAAGTTATTGGTTTCAACCCGATTTTTGAAAATCGAGTTTTCATCAGATCTCAACGTTGAGATATATTTATTCGCTTACTATAAAATAGCGAGGAGACATTTGCAGAGCACGTCCGAGTTCTTCTAGAATACTACCGTTAATGCTGTTGCCAAAACATAAAAATGGAATCAGTTATAAAAATCGGATAGGTATTCGATTATAAATAATTGCTTATTTTAGCATCGCTCACTAGCTTCAGTAAAATACATTTTAAATAAAATTGATTAGTTTTTATACAATCGTTTTTTATTGATGGATAAAAATAAAATTCACGATAGAAAGAAGGAATAAAACTGATGTCGACCGTTAATACATTGATATGTCGAGTAGATGTACATAAAGTCCGCTAACACGCATAGGGACAAAGAAGTGACAGAAATGTACCTATAGTTGAGATGCTGTTGCTACCCTTTTTTAGACCACCCTGTATAAACTTGACCTTTGTCGATCTTATAATCATAAATTAGGAGTCCGTCGAAGTAAAAAAGGTAATTAAATAATTTGCACTAACTATATCTGTAGCCAGTTGTAGCGGAAGCTCTAATACGACCGAGCCGCCTTTGACATAAAGTGTTATATATAATTAGTTTCTATACTTTTTCCTTGTTACACATTAGTCATAAGTAAATGAAATTAAGTCAGTTGTGTTTTATTTCCAGGATCTTATTGTATAAAATAATTCGTGTCTAAAATTACTATTCGTTTTTACAATTCCTATTTCGTTTACTGGTACGTATTTTTTCACTTGTTTTAATATCTAAATTTCATTTATGTACTCCCAACATTATAGATAGATATTTAATTAAGCTATAGATATTGTGTTTTATTTCCAGGATATCATTGTAAAAAGCAATTTTGTGTCTAAAATTCCTGTTCGTTTTTACATTTTCTATTTTGTTCGCTGGTGCGTAATTTTTAGATTTTTTTAATAACTACATTTAATTTATGTACTCTTAAAATTATGGATAGATATTTTTATTCGCTTGCTCTTTTTGATTTCAATAACACCGGGCCCATCTGCAATCAAAGTTGGATTACATGTGGATTATCGATCTATATTCTAATTAAAACTTCGTTTTGGTCACCACATAGCTACAAAGGCGGCAAATTTTACAACGCTTCTAACGATATTCTTAAGCCATTTCAAATTAGTGTGTTTTTGTGATCCGATTTAAACTGAATAACGAGATTATGTAGATAAAATTGAGTTTTCAGGTTCGGAATTATTTAATCCCTGATATTGTAAATTTAAGCGTGGAAACAGTATCGATCGGCTGTTTAGCAGCGAATGATGTAATAAGATTACTGGGTATATTTTGGCATATTATATTATCACAATGATTTACATAATATGAAAGGTTAAGAAATATATTTAAAGTATTTTCGAAACTCTAGTTTATTTATGTGATAGACTGGATGAAATAAAGTTTTTGTCATGTAAAATATCAAAGAAAGTATTTACTTGTATGGTTATTTTAGTATAAAGCGTTAAAATTAATAAGAACACTTAAAATTTTAAAGTTGCCGCAAGTTTTTAGTGTTTCACAATTTTTACTAACTACGAAAGACGGTAAAGATAAAAGTTCTAGTAATCCTCATTTAACATTTATCTAAATATTTCCTTTTTTTAAATGAATGTTAAATCCAGCTATCAATCAGTGGCTGTGATCTTGCTAGCGTTTCATAAAGTCGCCTCTTACGACACTCGCGGGATGAATAGAGGGATCCTCACACGCCAAATTCTATTACTTAAAAAAATCTAAACAACACAGAGTTTGAGTTCACAACCTTAGTCTTATTTCATCATCACACGTCGCATTCTATTACTTAAAAAAATCTAAACAACACAGAGTTTGAGTTTTGATAGATTTGATTTTGGTAGATTCAACGTGACTACAACCCTGTTTTCTTTTACAGTTCATTATTATTTATTTAAACCGTGTAAAATAAATGCAATGTACATGACAAACGGTAATTTTTAAAATGTGCTTTCCTCCTTTTGGGGTAAGATTTAAATTCAAAGTACTTCGAAGTTTATTATTAAAAAGAACGACTGCGCGTGCGCACAAGAAGTACAAGAAATTTGGCGAAAAGAAAATTGCCGCAAAGAAATTTAAAGTGACATGGCAAAGAAGACGTTAGGCTGGTAATGTATTTAAGCATTTTTAAACTTTATTCCAATATTAACCTACATTCTTCTTTTTCTATATGTGAGTCCCCCACACCAGATCAGCATACAGCAAGCGCACAGCAAACACTGTTCACTATTTACTTTTCCATGTTTAAAAAAATTTTTGAAGAGTTTGAAACCGCAATGAGGAACAATAATCTTTCGCTCACCAGATGTCGCTGGTTGAGGCCGAAGTGAAATTTTTTGTTACACTATTTCATTTTATTGAGAAGTTAGTTTTAAACAAAACTATACCGGTTTCTAGAGTATTATATTGTTGCGCGCCATAATTAATACCTGGTACATGGCACTAGCGTCATCTATCGAGTAGCAGAACTAAGCTTCCTAGAACATTCCCTGCTAGAAATTTCTACAACTAGTCGAGTTCTGGTCTAGTTCGAGGACTGGTGTGTGCTCGAACATTCTAGATGTTTCAGTGGAAAAGGCCGGTTTAGACGGCGACCCGAGTCCATATTGAATTGGGGATCAAGCGAATACTTCGAAGTGATATAACTGCGAACTAAAGTGTTAAGTGTGATTAATTATTAGTGTGTTTTAAGTTGTAATTAGTGTTTGGTAATTAATGTGTCAATTTTGGTGATTGACAATATTAATACCCAAAGCATTGCTTCTACGTTTTGCTTTTTAATTTTATGCACATTTTTAACTCATATAATTTTACTACTTTTAAACGATAGTTTGGTTTAATAACTCCTAATTTAATTAACATAAAATATAACTAAGCAATTTATCATAAAGAAACATTGACCCTTATATTTTTCCAACAAAAATAACTTCCCCTCTATGAAATCTGTCAAATATTTCACTTCATTCCTAAATTGGCGCCGCACTGGTGGCAAATAAGTTGTGGATGCTCCCATTGGTGACATGTTTATCCTCAGTGGAAGAAGATGATTTTAACGTGGCAATTATTATGATGAAATAGGAACAAAAACGTTACTGAGTTCATACATAAAATCTCGGTTGCATTAGTGCTGGCAATTTCAAATACTCAATGAATTTTAATGACTAGGTAGCTTTTAGCCGTGACTTCGTCCGCGTAGAAATTAAACAAAAAATCTCCAGATCTAGCGGGCAAGTAGTTCAATTATCAGAAAACCATTTTAAACTATAAAGTATAGTAAATGAACTGTTTATGGAGTATTATCACTGTTGGTTCAGCCAAACTGCCGATTAAACTGTACAGACAGAAAGACAGACAGAAAAACAGACAAAAATGTTATGAAGTTATTTCAATATAACAGATATATATTCAATTTTATTTATATGGTATGTATGTATAGATATCACACTTGAATTATTTTCTTTTAAAATAAGGATACTAGAATCTAGAATAGCCAAACTGGAGATACGTCTGTACAGACAGAAAGACAGACTGAGAGATAGAAATAAAAAAAAATGTTTCAGCATGTCTTAATATCATGCAAAAAACACTGAGTTTAATATAACTCAGTTATTACAATACCTACACACAATTTTACGGATAAAGAATGGGATTAGAAATGGCGTTTCATCAAGCACGTACCATCAACATGCACAGTATCAAGAGCGAAAATCAGCTAATAACGTTATAATTTGTGGTTATATTATTTTTAAAATAACATTTATACTAGCGATCCACTCTGGCTTCTTCTGGATGGCGTTTCTGTCCAGTCAAAGTAGACAAAAAAGTCTTAACTCAGCTAAAATAAGCATAGAGCTTAAAAGTGGAAGAAATATTAAATACATCATTACAAATAAAATGTCAAAATCCCCCTTCGATCCTACTTCTGCTAAAAATTTTATTCAAGGTCAAACGTACAAAATTAAGTTTTTCACATTTTTCTCGAAAACGGTAGGTTTTATCGTGAAAATAGGTCATACAAAAGTTTTATATCATACAATTTTCTACAAAAATGTTCTAGTCACGTTTTCTCTTACGATTCACCATTCGTGACATATCGCGGTTTTTAATAATTAGAAAATTCATATTTTACATAATATCAACTAAAACTTGAAACCTGGGAAGGCTCAAGTACAATCAACAATATATTCATCACAAAGTCTGACTGCATATCCAAAATGTCAAGTTCATATTTTATTTTTACATGCAATAACTGGTTGCGGTACTAAATCAGCAATTTTTAAAAGAGGTAAAAATAGCAGTATTTTTGACATTATATTTACAATGATGTATTTAATGTCTCTGCCAATTTTCAGAACTATGAGAATTTTGGTTAAGGCAATTATCTATTTTGACTGGACTATGGGATCTATTAATGTAGCGTTGTTTAGACATAAGGCAAACGTTAAAAACCATTTATTTTATCTTATCGATAATTCTACTTTTATAAAATCTAGATTTTTTGGATAAAATTTAATTTAAAACACTCCTGTTAATATTTTTTTGTATAAAATACTTATATTAACAGGAGTGATTTAAACTAAACTATTAGGAAGAAAACTCTGAGAATGCGTCGTAGCTCGCAAATTAGCAAAATCAAAATTTATGGGGATTTGTTATCACTGATTCCAATGACAAGTTGGACTAAAGTTATAAAACGTACCGAAAATCATTTTTTTGCAGTCTTTACAGGCGTGTGAGTGAGTATTGATAGCAACAGTGTGCAAGCGAGAGATGAATAGAAGCGACGCCATTTTTAATCCCATTCTTCAACGGCAAGGGTAGTAGGCACTTTTAAAATATTGTTAAAACTGGTTGGTTTATGAAGAACACATTATTGGGAATCAGTTTTTCATTTTTTGATTCTACGCAATAAATAAACAATTAATTATAAATACGCGACACGCGTGCTGCGACGGTAGTTATATTATAATAAGATTCAATTTTCAGTCGTTATTACGAAGACGCTTCTGCCCATCTCCTAATTTATTTCCCTCTCTCGCCTCTTACTAAACCCGCGGAGTAATATGGAGTAGTTGATATTCTTACACCGCAACTACAATATATAGGTATGTATAGGTGGGTAGGTATAGGCAATCTATACGTAAATAGAGGATAAAAAAGTAAATAGATGTTAGAAAGGCGTGTAGATATAAAAACGCTACCTTGCACCCCGTATTTATCAAGCAAAATAGTACAAAAGAGGAGAAGGTTTGAGGAAAACAACGTTCATTCAACCTTAAAGATGTTTAGGCCTGTTAGGATGTCTAGGATGTTAATATCGGCGTTCGAATATTTGTTCAGTGACAACGCATCTGCATTTTGATTCTTAAGCGAGGTTAAAAATGTAGATGTCTATGGGCCATAGCATCAACTTACCATCACGTGGACTGTGTGCTCGTTTGTCTGCATTTTGGCTGAGTTTTAGCGGGAACTTGGCCGTAGACGGATTGTCGCTCCTTGTTTTGTCGCTTGAATAATGGTTTGAAGTGGATTTCGATTCGTAAAAGTGATACGATTTTGTGAATTAAGTGTCCGCGCGTGTGAACTATTAGAGAAAACGACGAAACAAGTGCTTTAATATCGACATTTAATAAACCTCAAGTTATTATGATCGCTTGGATGCCTTATGGACTTGAGTGGCTGTCGTCATCAACTGTCCGCTAGGTTGAGTTGACGTAAAAATCTCCCAAGGACTTCGCAATGTGACACATCAGCATATTGTGAAGAAAAAGAATATAAAATGAAGATTCCAAAAGAAATGATAGGCTCAGAAGGGTTAGAACCCAGAGCCGTAAAGCCAGTAAATAAAAAAAATGCATTTTGATTCTTAATCGAGGGTAGATGTAAATGTATACAGCTCACAGTATTTCATTTACCGTCAGGTGGACTGTGTGCTTGTTTGTCACCCATATTGTAATAAACAAGTAGATAGTTCTTGAAGTATTTTGGTAACATATTTTCAACGAACTAACGGACGGTAACGATAAAATCTTTTAATAGCACTTTTTTGTAAAATAATACGCATTGAAAAACTTAATAAAAGCGTCAGGTATTTTCATTACCGTTTCCTTTTACAATTTTATTTGCTTTTTTAACGTGTTAGTGCCGTATAAAATAATAAACCCGATTTAATGTGAGCGGGTAGCGTAACCTTGACAAGTCGACAGTAAATTCTTCTTCATCGTTCGCTGCTTCGCGTTCGAGGTTTGTAAAAGTATATGCACCTAAATCCTAATTTATTTCCTACCTTAGTAACCTTTAAACAACACAGCGAAGTAATAAATAACGTTACGAAAGTTAGTTGATTTCCTTCTAAAAGTTTTAAGGCGCTGAAAATATTTAAAGGCTTTCCCGAAACAATTTTTTAGCCAAATCTATTTTATATAGCTATATATAATATATTAATAGCTTTTGGCAGCGCCTTAATCGTGTATTTCTTCAAACTCAAAAGAATAGAACGATTTTGATTCAATATAGATTAGTACATAATACTTATTTTTTATATACAATTGGTTCGGAAAATACCTCTGTCCTGGGAAAAACCAGCAAGAAACTCAGCGGGTTTTTTCTTAAGAATAAAGGGAATACACAACTAGCAAATAAGAATTACGCCAACTGCAACCCGTTTAAATACTTGCAACATATGTGTATAACTGTGTATTGTGTGTCCAATCGCCAATGCGTCAGCCATTCGTGTCGATTACTGCTGAGAATGTTTTAGAACTATTACATTTTTCTAGAAAATTCAAGTAAATTATTATTAAAGTTTTAGTGGTCATCGTAATATTAATTTTAATATCTTAAAAAAACTTTACCCGCTATTCATTTACATTCTATTGTAATAGCCTTTTTCATTAATGGCGTAGGACATATCCATACCGAAAAAATATTTGTAAGCCATACAAATACTTTTCTGTGCCAAAATCAAACCTGTAGCATGCAGTCCTATAGCTAATTGCTTTAAACCAGAAAGATTTAATGAATCAATACCTTTCAGGTTAGTAACAATTGTTACGCTGAATTTATGTATGGGTCACGGAATCACTCCGAAATCATTCGAATACCATGGTATCTGCAAAAGTATGTTCTGTAACTCAATGGAAGCTTTAAATCGATTAAAAAATTGCACCGTGGTGTTGGGGAACCTTCACGTGTTGCTGTTAGAAAAAACGAGACGGGAACATTTTACAAATGTGTCATTTCCAAAACTCAAAGAGGTGGGTTATTTTAATTTTTCCTTAGAATTTAATATTAATATATACAGTGCAGAAATGTGGCTGTCGTTGCCAATGATACAGTCGCAGGCTTGACAAGATTTAGGTTAAAAAGAGTAAATAATAATCAAAACCACTCTACTTACTATGTCTATTTTTGTTAGAACTGTAATTAACGTATAAGTACTTTAAATATTATGATATTCACAATACTTTGGATTTATAATGTCCTCCAGACCGAATTTCGGTCACGGCGGCCTGCCTCAACACCATCGGCCATCGGCACAGGACAGTGTTATATTGCCCAAGTGTATGCGCAAGCACAGGTGCACTCTCTATTCTCTCACTCTCATAATCCAATGGGACAGTAGAACGACACGATTGGAGAGAGATTAGGCGCAGGACCTTTTTAGGCACCTTTTAGGCAGCAGCTTTACATAATGATTTCTTAAATTTACGCGAACACTACTCATTGAATAAAACTATTATTTACGGATTTTATCGCGTTTAATTACTTTAATTTATTTTTATTATTATCCCGACGTTTCGGGTGCTTTACAGCACCCATGGTCACGGGGGGGGGGGGACTGAGATGTTTGACGTCCCAATGTCATTGTTAGCCCGGCTACCTTCAGTTTTTGAATATTAATTTTTGGTCCGATTTACGCAAATTTACGCAATGTATGTAAATGTGCTGTAAAGCACCCGAAACGTCGGGATAATAATAAAAATAAATTAAAGTAATTAAACGCGATAAAATCCGTAAATAATAGTTTTATTCAATGAGCAGCTTTACATGCTTTCCGAGGCATGGGTGTGAGACACCGTCAACTTCCTGACTCGGGGCAGCTACTGAGAATTTCTTAACGGAAAAACTCAATAATAAATATTTTGGCCCGCCCGGGTTTCGAATCCAGGACCTCATTCAGCGGATCAGCAGTCGCACTCACATCAGCGGTCAGAGGATCAGCAGTCGCACTACTACAACCACTAGACCAACGAGGTAGTCGAATTATATTTGGATTATGCATAACACAATTCTTTATACCGAAATTATTCTTTAAGCAAAGATAAAATAAATCATTAAGCTAAGGTCTTAAGTAACATATTTTTTTATAAGACCGAAGTAACAAATGAACTTCCTGCCCACCTGCAGGTAAGTGGTTACTGCAATCCATAGGTACCTGCAGCGAGCTTTAAGCAAACAAAGCTTCAGATACGTTGTACCTACTAGGTCTAAGATTGAATGTCTCACTGCCTGTAGTTTTGCCGGCTCTGTATATCCGTCAGCTCGGAATGCAGGTGTGCAAGCACTGCTACTAGGTGGCAGGAATGGATATGAGCGTGGTGTCCACTGGACTCCTAAGCAGAAAGAAGGAGTCCTATCACCTAGATTTTGACACTATGTTTATACAAATTACCGTAGATTACGTATAGTTTATGACTAGTTTGATATTTGATCTACAAAATCAATTTTTCATCTACTAATTAGTAACTTAACAGTTTACTCCAAATTTTCGTGCAACTTTTATTAGTTTCTGCTTACTTTTTGTTGGTAGATTGATAGAGCTTAAACCATAGAATACTTGTACTTATACATAGCCTAAAACTACCAGCTCGCAAAGTGAGACTTTGTCATTTCTATTTTATTAATTATTAGTATTAGTAAGATCAATAGAGAATATTTGAAATACGTCGTCATAAATTGATTCTTTATAAGTTATCTCTTTTTTTAAATCCTATTATAAGCCAGTGATTGACTACAATGCCACTTGTTTGTAAGTTTTGATTAAGCCCTAGACGGTTAATCATACTTATGCTCTAACAAACAAATTATTTCATTCCCTTGCTGTACGCAATACGCAAGATGAAGCAAAACGTTTGGTTCGAATGCGTGGAATATAGATATCAAAGGGGTTTCCGATAGTAGAAACGGGCGGATGGAATTATGTTGTTGTAAAAAATATAATATTAACCAGATATTTATAAAAATATAAACATGAAATCAGGTTTTTATTTTAAGAATCTCTTTCTGATAAGCCTTTATAACTAAACATTGCGGCCAAATTTCATAATTATAGCTCAAGCGGTTTGGGTTCAGGGAATAGATCGAGTTACTTTGTAAGCATAGATTATTATCAAATTGTAAAAGGAATGTACATGATTAAAAAAACATATGTAAAACATTTTTTTTAATTATTTGCAGTATCGGTAAGTCATTTGTTATCAGCCATTTAGGTTAATGAAGAATTTTTTTGATATATCACGAGGAAGTCACTTATCGCATTCGATTAATTAATTCTTGTGCGAAAATCTTTTTGGGACTACATTACTTTGATATACAGTTACCAATATAGCCTATTAAAGGCTGGTGATGAACATAGACCTCCCCATAGATTGCCTCATAGGGGTTTTGCCTGTTGATATTCTTACAACGTTTCTACATAAATTAATTACATAATTATATATATATATATATATATATATACATATTACATATTACATGTAGTAATGTAGCCGAAGAAAAAGGAAAAAAAAGGATAGGAGTTGACGAATTATTGTTCTCTATTGATATATTATTATTAGTGCTGATTTACCACGTGCTCAGCGATGAAGGAAAACATCGTGAGGAAACCTGCATGTCTGATGAATAAGAAAAAAATATTTTTAAGACATGCGAAGATCGCCAACACTCATTTGCGCGGCGGACACTTTCTTTGCCTAAACCTGAGAAAATATAGGAGGAGTGTGCCCAGCTGTAGGACGTATATACGCTGTAACTTTAGCTAACTTTTAATGAAATCCGTGTATTAGATTACAGGTTTTCTAGTAGTGTACAGAGTGAGAGGCTTGGAGAGCCTCGGACAGTTGTTCCCCAATTTAGCAAGGATACGTGGTGCCCAGCTTTTGTACAACTATGCACTCATCGTTTATGATATGCCAAATCTTGAAGAGGTACTGTTTTAATCTTTTTATATAAATATACTGCGCATTATTTAAGGGTACCTAATTGACTAGGTAATATATTTTTTGAGGCTATGTGACCTATCTCTCCAATTAAAACGAGTGGTCGAGTAACAAATTTAGGATATTATTTATTACATAAAGCCACTGCTTAACATAGTACTTCATAAATAGTCTCATAGAGGCGATATTTGCCATAAATACTACGTTTCAAAGGTGAGTTGGACACTGAAGCCTTTTTTATTATTGTTGCGCGCAACACGTGTCTGGTACACGGCTAGTTATCACTAGCGCCATCTAGTATCGAGTAGCAGAACTAGGAGAGTCAAGATTTTTATGACCGGACCGGTATGTAAGGTACATACCGGTCCGGTCGTTTGATAAAGGGTTTTGATAGAGATAGGTAGATGTTTCAGTAGGAGAGGCCCTATATAAGGCCGGTGTGGGCCGCGACCGATTAGGTATTGAATTGGCATATACAAGCGAATACTTTGAAGCGATATAAATGCGAACAAAAGTAATCAGTAGTGACAATCGTGTTTTATTATTAATGTGTTTTAAGTTGTAATTGTTCGGTAATTAAAGTGTAGATTTTACCAGGAGGAGGATTAACTACGGGAATATTTGGGGTAGTTGATTCCTTTACCCCACCACTCACGGTACTTCACGGCAAAGTGTAAGGATAACTGATGACAAAGAGAGAAATTATGGAAGATTTATTTTACTTTCAGTACTATCTTTGCCGTGTAGTACATCAGCCTTTTTTGTCCAGTGGGTGTCGTGAGAAGCAACATGCGTATGGCCAGAAAGACTTTATAAGCTGTGACGGATCACGATACACCTTCTTGTCGTATATTACTAGTGTAAATATGTAGAATAACGACGCGGGGCAATGTGCCAAGCCAATGCTTGGCCCGAACAAGCATGAAAATTACAGCAAACTTGAACTCCCATCAGTTAGGCTCATGAGGCTCCAGTCGTGGACTGCTTAGAGGTGATATAGTAGAATTAGTAATATTAGCTTTTTATTTATTAATGAAGGAAAATTCTCGTGTAGTGGAGGTCTAAATAATCTGCTACTTGATATCACCTTATCAATGTCGAAAGAGAAATGAAACAGGAGACAAGCAAAAACATATTAAGAAATTATGTAAAATGTTGGGCTCGACCAGTGTAGGAGCACTTTGTCACGAAATACCAGCGTAAAATAGCAGCTTAATGTTACTGTGTTTCGTATGCTTAGTGTAGAGAATCGGAGACCCTTTCTACTGAAAACGAGACATTCTATCTAAGTCCTCAGAGGTGACAACAAATCAGCATTTTGATTCTTAATCGAGGATAAATGTAGATATCTATGGATGACAGCATGCACTTACCATGCGTACTCGTTTGTCAACCTAATCTTAAAAAAATAGCGTCCTGATAAAAACTCAAAATATAAAAAGTTGCGTTTGCCAACCCCCTGCTAAGTGTGGGTACTATGTCAAATATCCCCCCTTTGCTGCAAACTTTGGGGGAGTCTTATTTTCAGAAGAGGACTTTTGATGGGCTATAATGATGGTGATGAAGATGACGATTAGGTAGAATAATTGCACTTATTATCATCAGCATGATTCCAAGAGACCTCTGCTCAATATTGTTTTCTTTCTATGTAAGAGGCTGTATTGTAGATGTAACAATTTTTGGCAAAAACATACTTATCTTATGGTCTGCACTGTATTAGCGATGCCCTGGCCCTATGGAACTGTGACCTGCGCAAGGCGGTTGGCAGTAACTGGTCGTGTGATATTAAAGGTTGTTCTAAGTAGCACACCTTTGAAGCTTTTCCTCAGATGATTCTAACGACAGTATGAAATAAGGAAATGACTCAGCTTAATAATATGTTCTTAGTATAGGTGGTAGAGCCACGGCAGCAGCTATATTACAGATGTAGCAAAAATGGGTTGCCTTGATCAGGGAAGGACCACGCACTCATAGAATGCCAGCGTAAAATAGCAGCTTAAAACTGCTGTGTTTAGTATGGTGAGTGTATAGATCTGGAGACCCTTTTTTACTGGAAACGAGGCATTTTATATTAGTCCTAGGGGGTGGAAACGCATCTGCGTTTTGATTCTTAATCGAGGATATATGTAGATGTCTATTGGCTACGGCATCCACTTACCATCAGGTGGACTGTGTGCTCGTTTGTCACCCAAAAAAATATATGAAATATTTGAAAAAATATCTTTACGTTTTAGATTGGACTCTACAGTTTACTCAAAATCGATAGAGGTGGTGTTATAATCTGGACAGCATCACAAGCGTGTTTCATAGACACAGTGGATTGGAAATCTATTGCTCCCGGTTCCAGGCACGTGCTTAGTGTGGATAGACATGCTCATTGTAATATACATTGTACATGCAGCAGGAACGCTTTGACGAATCATTGTTGGAATAACAGGTAAACGAATGCTATAACTATGATGCTGTTTAGCTAATTTTATAGAGATATCGACCATTATTCATCATCATCATCATTACAGCCCTTCACAAGTCCACTGCTGAACATAGGCCTCCCCCAAGTAATGCCACAAAGCACGGTCCTGAGCCACCTGCATCCATCGACTTCCTGCATGTCTTACCAGGTCGTCACTCCATCTAGTGGGGGGTCGCCCTACACTACGCCTACCGGTACGAGGCTGCCACTCGAGAACCTTTCTTCCCCATCGGTTATCGGTTCTTCGAGCTATATGGCCGGCCCATTGCCACTTCAGCTTACTAATCCGTTGGGCTATGTCGATCACTCTGGTTTTACTGCGGATATCCTCATTTCTGAGTCTATCACGCAGAGAAACTCCAAGCATAGCCCTCTCCATAGCTCGCTGAGCGACCTTAAGCGTCCTCATACGGCCAGCAGTGAAGGACCACGTCTCAGATCCGTAAGTCATCACTGGCAACACGCACTGGTTGTACAATCTAGTTTTTAGAGATTGAGGTATACCTGACGAAAAGATATGTCGTAATTTCCCCGAACGCAGCCCAGCCGAGTTGAATCCGTCGATTGACCTCTCGGTCGAAGTTGGACTTACCTAGTCGGACTATTTGTCCCAGGTAAACGTACTCGTCAACAACTTCGAGCATAGTGCTCCCAACAACTACCGGCATAGGTGTGACATGGACATTAAACATGATCTTTGTTTTGTCCATGTTCATCTTAAGACCTATCCGTTGGGAGGCACTATTGAGGTCATTGAGCATAATGCTTAAGTCCTCCAGCGATTCTGCCATAATGACTATATCGTCGGCAAATCGAAGGTGAGTGATGTACTCGCCATTGATGTTAATACCGTATCCTTTCCAGTCCAGTAGCTTGAAAACGTCTTCCAACGCAGCGGTGAAGAGTTTCGGGGATATAACATCACCCTGTCTTACACCTCTCTGCAGTTGGATAGGTTTCGAACTCTGGTTCTGTACTCGGATAGCCATCGTAGCCCTACTGTACAAACACTTCAGCACTTCGATGTACCGACAGTCAACTTGGCACCGCTGAAGGGACTGTAGCACCGCCCAAATTTCGACGGAATCAAAGGCTTTCTCATAGTCCACATATGCCAGGCAAAGTGGCAGATTGTACTCTTCGGTCTTCTGTACAATCTGCCGCAGGGTATGTATGTGGTCTATGGTACTGAAGCCTTTTCGGAAACCGGCTTGTTCGGGAAGCTGGAAGTCGTCGAGTCTGCGTGCGAGACGATTCGTAATGACTCTCGAAAATAGCATGTAGACGCGGCTCAGAAGGGAAATCGGTCTGTAGTTCTTCAAGAGAGCGTTGTCGCCTTTCTTAAAGAACAAAACCACCGCGCTTCTGCTCCACGCCTCCGAGTAGTGCCACCATGGAGGACGGAATTGAAGAGCTTCCGAAGGACTTCAAGTACCGGTTTTCCACCCGCTTTCAGAAGCTCCGCTGTAATTCCATCCTCGCCCGGGGCCTTGCCGTTTTTAAGGTGGTGGAGAGCCATTCTAATCTCGCTCAGACTGACGTCCGGGATAACTATTATTGTATCCACATTATTAGAGCCACGCTACAGCTGTATTACGGTTGTAGCACGAATGGGTCAGCTCGACCGGGGAAGGACCACGCTCTCACAGAATACCAGCGTAAAATAGCAGCTTAATAACTGCTGTGTTTCGTATGGTGAGTGTAGAAATCCGGAGACCCTTTTTACTGGAAACGAGGCATTCCATCTTAGTCGTCAGGGGTGACAACGCATCTGCGTTTCGTTTCTTAATCAAGGATAAATGAAGATATGGGCCACAGCATCCACTTACCATCAAGTGGATCGTATATTCGTTTGTCACCCTTATTTTATATTAAAAAAATCCTAAGTTTGCATACCCTTATAAGACCATTATTTATATCAATATCAAATCTAGTAAGCACGTCCCTTAGAAATTTAATAATAAAATTATTCATTGATTCATAAGCCTATCAAAACTTCACCGCTTAATATAGGCGTCCCCCCATGAGATTAATTCTAGGCCATAGTCGCCATGCTTAGCAGGCGGGTTAGCGATAGAGTATCGTTTTAATTGTTTTGAGCTATTATTAGGACTGTACTAGTACTTTTCTTACTTCAGTAAAAATATTTTTTCCGCGATCGTTTTGCTTAATGATCTAATAAGGGTTTCATATTTAGAATTTTTTTATCAAACTTCGGTATTTCAAATTACAACTCGTATATGACATGATATGTTTAAATTTACGAACAGATTCAGCGTGTGAAATATTTATTATTTGCGCTACGCATTTTCCTCGTATCGTATCCCTTCTCTTCTTAACATTATTCGATTATTTCTTTGACATTTTCATACAGGTGTCGTTACTCGTGTATCTATCACAGGAAGGTAATCTAACGCTTTTGTCAGCTTACACCACGGCTTGAAATGCTCGTATATCTAGAATACAACTTCCAATTTTAATTGAAAGTCGACGTTGTTGTCAAAATGAACCGTAAAGTTTTTGCTTTTGATTATTATATAAATTTAAGGCCAAGGGATATTTTCTAAATAGTTTAAAACTTTTGATATAATGTGGTGTTAAATTATTTTTTAAACCTTAAAGGTATGGCTGCCTCGCCTTCGTTTTGATAGAACCTAAGTTCGGTCCCCACCAGCATGACCGAAATTTTTCATGTAACATATGTTATAACACAAAACATAAACACTTCCGCATGATATTGAATCATGTTGCCGAATACGCCATTTACTTTTTGCGACATGAATTTGTTTTGTCACTTTCTTCATTATTTCTACATGAATAAACAACCGATGAGTTTTTCGTAGAAATTGTAAATATTAATTATTATATAAATGTAAACGTAATTTTTTGCGAATAAATATCTTGAGAATATGCTGACAAATAAAAATATTTGAAGGGCACGCAAAATCTTGCTAGAGTAGCAGGATAGTCACATTCTTGTTCCATAACTCTCTTTTAGAAATAAGAGGAGGCAACAACGTAACTGTTGAGAATTTAAGGTAATGTAAATAAAACAGCTAAGCTGTTGAGAACAGGAGGTCTTTAATTCAATACCTGAAATAACTTTTTATTATATATTATAGTTAGAGTAAAATTAAAGGATAATTAATAAAATGATGTTAAACACTATTTCACTTATTGAATTTGGCATTCTATGGCTTCATAGTTAATGTTGACTACATTATTCATTAGCACTGAAACTTGGCGAGAAATATTTAAGCTGTTACGACAAGTTTGAGGTACCTGGCACCTTATTGCAGGGATGGCAAGCATGTAGGTTTAAGACACGTAGGTCTCAGCGGGCATGTGATAGATAACTGTGTTAACGCTGTTGTTTGAAATAAAAGATCTTAAGCCTAAGTTTTGAAATGTTGTATTTTTGGATTTTAAATAGTATAAAAGAGACAAACTAACACTCAGTCCACCTGATGGTAAGTGAATAGGTGGACCCTCGAGGACCAAGATTGAATGTCTCATTGCATGTAAAAAGGATCACCGGTTCTCTAAACTCCCCATACGAAACAGAGTAGCATTAAGCTGCTATTTTACGCTAGTATTCTGTGACAGCGTGGTCTTTCCCCGATCGAACCAAAACCATTCGCGCTGCAACCATAATTTAGCTGCAGTCTTGCTATACGTTAATATATTCCTTTACCAAAAACTGGCACTTCATAAACGTAGTAAAGGTTTTTCGCACCTGTACGACTACGAAATATAGATAAAAAAACGATCGCCATCCATATTTCACACCGTTTTTATAAAAAAAAGGGTGACAAACAATCACACAGTCCACCTGATGCTAAGTGAATGCTGTGACCATAGACATTGCGTTGTCACCCTTGAGGACTAGATGGAATGCCTTAATCACAGTAAAACGGGTTCTCTACACTCACCGTATCCCAACAAGTTCACCGCATTGTGGAATATATCCTCAGCGGTTTCTATCCTCGTCGTCATAAGACCGTCGCGGTCTTTTTCGATATAGCTAAAGCTTTTGATAGAGTCTGGCACACAGGCCTCATCTACAAGCTCTACAAAATAGGTCTCCCTGATCGTCTAGTTCGTCTCGTGGCCTCCTACTTAAAACATCGTACCTTTCGTTTTAGACACGAAGGCATGCTATCTTCACAGCGAACTATCAAGGCTGGTGTCCCTCAGGGCTCAGTACTTGCTCCTCTGCTGTACATCCTGTTCACCAACGACATTCCCATCCCGTCGAAAGGTGTTCAACTCTCCCTCTTCGCAGACGACACTGCCATCTACTGCAAAGGTGTCTCACTACCCTTCATACGGAACAAGATCCAAAAGTCAGTTGATGACCTAGGAGCTTGGTTCAAAAAATGGCGCATCGATGTGAACCCGGAGAAGAGCTCCGCCGTTCACTTCGATTATAAACGACGCCGTCTCAAAAACACTCCACCAATACTTATGCTAGGGACCCCTGTCCCCTGGCATACGTCCGCCAAATATTTAGGTGTCACTCTAGACACAGGGCTCACTTTCAGGCACCACGTCAAAAGAGTAACCCGTCACGCACGGTTTTATCTGAGTAGGCTCAACAGTATGTTGGGCCGACACTGTAAAATGTTCCTTCGAAACAAGCGTACGCTTTACAAGGTCTGTATACGACCAGTCATGTCCTACGCGGGCCCCGTCTTTGCCCACGCAAACCCTAATATTATAAATGAACTCCAAATAGTTCAGAACCTCTTCTGTCGTCGAGCTGCGAACGCACCTTGGTACGTCCGTAATGCCGACCTTCATCGGGACTTAGAGCTCCCAACAATTCAACAATTTCTTAAAAAACTCTCTGAGAACTTCTTCAAAGCCTCAGAGTCGCACCCAAACCAATTAATTCGTGAGGCAGCTTCTTATGCAGCCCCACCCCCCTCTCGCTATCGTGTCCGCAGGCCGAGAAACTCTCTCTCGGACCCGCCTAATAAACTGTCAAACGACCTGAACTGTCTCCTGGCGGCTCAGGCCAACTCTAATTAAATTAAATTATTGTATTAACTAACATTAATTTGCCTTCGTAGGCACTCCCTCAGCGGCTCTTAGCCGCCTGCGCCCTCTTTTCGCAAAAGAGGGTCGCTCATGATAAGGCACAATACAGCTTAATCATCCGGCTGCCTGTCCCCAAAGGCGGTTTTTAGAGGGTATCACTTAGGGTCCCCGGTAGGACAGTGAGCCCCCTCATAACCACGATAGACCGGCTATCGTGGTATGCGTAATGCATTTTCCGCCTCCCTACGTATAGGGTAGCCCTTTAATTGCTTCGGGCGCAAAAAAAAAACTCACCGTATGAAACACACAGCATTAAGTTGCTATTTTACGCTGGTATTCTGTGAGAGCGTGGTTAATCCCCGGTCGAGTCGACCTATTCATGCTACAACCATAATAGCTGCAGCGTGGCTCCACTACGTATAAAAATACCCTTTAATTTATTCTCATACCCTCTAGCACTAGGTTTCCAAACAGAAAACAAAACTTTACATCCTCAGTGACAGACAGATCTGGCTGCTGATTTACTTTCGGCTGCAAGGAATAGGGAGAGCGTTGTATATTCATATCGGCATTCTATATCCCTAACACCATCTCGAGCTTAGAGGACAGGCCACCCGCATCCAGAATGTATTATTGCGCATCAGGAGCAGACTGTTCATTCCACTGGAAGAAGCCATCTCCGGTCAGCCATGTAGGTTTTTATCAGTTCACCGTGGGTGAATAAGTGTTGTCCTATTACATGACCACTTAGGGCTTAGGACACATCGTGGCAATCATCTGTAGATCTATTTTGTACATCACAGAATTTTTTATATCAATAAACATTATAAATTTTCAGAAAATGCCAGCGTTATCTCGAAGGCCCCGAAGGTGAAAAATGTAAAAGCCAATGTCTCGGCTGTCGGAAGACAAATAGCAGCGATTGTTCCGTTTGCCGACACTACACGTTCAGGGGGCAATGTGTCTCCGAGTGCCCCAACGGAACGTAAGTTATAGTATTGTTTAAGTATTTGCTTGCTACGATTTGAAATTTATCTCATTTCTTTTATCGCATTCAAAATATATCTCTTCGAAAATAAACATGTTTAATTGCATGACGTATATTACTACCATTAAATAATTAATGTAAACATGCAATGAAAGGCCTTATAAAAGATTCTTGTAAATTTTTATGATATTAAGTCCGTCGTAGTATATTTATTTTAAGACATAAAATTGCCTAGATTGATTTTAATAGACATCTTACTTGTAAGCTCTCTATTGTGCTCTTTATATAGAGAATATACCACCCCCTGTCATCTCCAGAGTTCGTAAGAGGCGATAAAGGGAAACTGAAACAGTAGAAGGGCAGCAGAGCTCAAAATAATAAAGCTCTGCGGTTGTCAACACGCCTGTCCTGCGTGGCACCTTAATACAATTTGGGGGGTTACTTGATATATACGGGGGATGTATATCCCTATGAAGCATTTATGAGGGAGTCTTACGTTCAACAGTGGTTTTATTAGGAATGAACAAATGAATGAAGCTGTTTATTTATTATATTATGTTATTTTCTTTAGTGTCGTGTTGCCAGTAAATAAATATTGTCTGAACAACGACGAATGCAACAAGCTGGATGGATGGTCGTGGAATAATACTTGTATATTTGAGTGCCCCCTATATTACGTAAAAGAAAAAACAGCTAACAGCTTCACCTGTAGGTGGTGCAGGAACTGTACGGAGGTGAGTACAGATTAAATGTATGTTAATGTTATGTAAACACCAGCGTTCTAAAAAAGAAGTATAATTCCGCCTCCAGGTCCTTCAAAAGAGTTATTGCCAAGGCAAAGTCTGAGCACATAGGCAGAATTGGCGAGAAACTAGTTCGCCGTCCTTCTGGAACCCGTGCATTCTGGTCTCTCGGCAAGGCTGTCCAGGGGAATTTCTGTCAGCCATCTCTTCCATCTCTGCACAGGGAGGACGACTCACTGGCCCATACCGCAAAGGAGAAAGCCGATCTGCTAGGCTCTTTCTTTGCGTCCAACTCGACTCTCGATGACGGGGGAGTACGCCGCCGACGATCCCGCGGTGTGAGTGCTCCATGACAGAAGTGCAGTTCACACAGCGCTCGGTTCGCAAAGCGCTCCTCTCCCTAGACATCCATAAGTTGAGTGGGCTTGACGAAATCCCCCCAATTGTGCTGAGGACGTGTGCTCCAGAGTTGGCACTGATTTTAACGCGTCTTTTCCGGTACTCCTACTCCCTAGGCGTAGTGTCAAAATCATGGAAGACGGCTTTCGTCCAACTGATCCCTAAAAAAGGCGACCGCTCAGACCCGTCCAACTACAGGCCTATCGCCATCACCTCCTTGTTCTCCAAAACAATGGAGTCCATTGTAAACTGCCAGCTCATGAGGTACCTTGAGGATCACCAGCTGATTAGTGATCGCCATAGGGTTTTCGCCGTGGTCGATCAGCTGGTGGTCTTCCGGTCTACCTAACTCATAGATGGGCGGAGGCAGTAGAATCCAAGAGGGAGGCGTTGGCCGTTAGTTTTGGTCTTCGATCGGGTTTAGCACAAAGCGCTTCTTTCGAAGCTCCCTTCCTATGGGCTTCCCGAGAAATTGTGCAATTGGATGACCAGCTTTCTTGCAGATCGGAGTATCAAGGTCGTTATAGACGGTGCAAGCTCCGATTACAAGCCTAGTAATGCTGGTGTTCCACAAGGCTGCGTGCTATCGCCAACGCTGTTTCTTCTGCATATCAATGATATGTTGCAAACCTGTAACATTCATTGCTATGCAGATGATAGCACTGGTGATGCTCTGTACGCTGGCCGTGCCAATATTTCTCGGGAAAACATCTCCGAGTACCGGGACAAACTTGTGTCTGAAGTCGATTCTTAGCTGAATAAAGTTTCGGGTTGGGGGCGACTAAATCTAGTTCAGTTTAACCCTCATAAGACAGAAGAAGTTTGCGTGTTAAACGCTAAAAAGAACCCCTTTGTCGTATCTCTTCAGTTTCAAGGCACTCCCCTTGTTGCCTCAGCCAGTATCGGAATCCTCGGCGTCGGTATATCGAGTGACATGCAGTTTCGTGGTCACTTGGAAGAGAAGGCCAAATTGTCAATGAAAACAAAGTTTTGGACGCCTGCAACTTTACAAGGCGTAGGTTCGGCCACACATGGAATACTGTTCCCATCTCTGGGCTGGGGCTCCCCAGTGCCAGCTCCTTCCACTTGACCGCATCCGTCGCAGAGCGGCTCGAATCGTCGATTCGCCGATTGCTTTCCGATGGGCTTGATTCACTGGCAGTGGCGCTGCGTAGAGATGTTGCATCTCTTTGTATTTTCTTTCGCATATACCACGGGGCGTGCTCTGATGTATTGTTCGGATTAATCCCAGCCGCCAAATTTCGTGAACGCACTACGCGGCAAACGTCCCTATACCATCTCTTATTATTGTGTGGGTGGTTATGTTGTGAGTTTTTTATTTATTATGCATAAGTTTTTTAGAATTATCCATTGTAAAAAGTGGATGATTAAATAAAGTCATAGAAGTGATATCATTTAACATAAAATATTATATATAAAATGTTATTTAAATAAGTCATCTGAATAACCTAACACATCAAGAAGCACTGAGTGGTGAGGCATCTTGTATTGTAATGCAGATTTTGACTGTAGGTACAACTGTCTAAATAATTTTATAACTAACACACTGCAAGGAATACTAAAGAGCTAACAAATAGATAAATATAGAAATGAAGAAATATATAAATAAGGCATTCCATCTTAGTCCTCATGGGTGACTACACATCTACATTTTGATTCGTAATCGAGGATTGATGTTATTATCTATGGACCACAGCAACTACTTACTATCAGGTGGACTGTGCGCTTGTTTGTCCCCCTTATCCTATGAGAAAGAGACGGGAAGAAGTATGTCGCTTTGCTCCTCTATCCGCTTATTATTATGGTATCGGGGAAATAATGGATGTGGCTAGAAACAATGAAACTAGTTAACTGTTGAACGACGTTCACAGAGGTTAATGAATTTTTTAAATGATCGCAGTAAAAAATCTCTTAGAAAGTTCAAAAATTTCTTATATTCAAACTTTTTTAGAGAAGGGAACATTTAATTTGATAATGTTATAATAAGATTTCGTATTTTCCTTCAATTTTACATTTTTAAGATTTTTTTTCAAATAATTGATGATAGATGTTTAATTTACGCGAAATAAAATTTATTCATACTAATTATATTTTCAGACCTGTGGAAGTCAATTCATTCGAAGTATTGAAACAATACAAGCAGCTAGACGATGTGTCTATATTAATGGTTCTTTGACTATACACATTTCATCAATACCAGAAATTGTTAAAGAATTACAAACGTTTTTGAGCGTAATACAAGAGGTATCTGATCATATAGTTATTTATGGTTCGATTGCAATTACATCTTTAGATTTTTTATCGTCACTTAAACGTATTGGTGGCAGAAATTTAGAAAGAGGAAAGTACAGCCTTACTATATATGATATGCGGAATCTTCAGACGTTATTTTTGTCGAATGTCACAGAAAATCTTAAAGTCGATCATGGAACTGTAAACTTCTACGGAAACCCAATGTTGTGTATGAGCCAAATTGAAAAATTGCAAATAAAATTTCCGATCCAACCAAATGAAATAGATGTCCCACAAGGCATGAATGGTTACAGTGGCGGGTGTACGGAAGTATCCCTTGGACTTCAAGTAAGAGTTCTGAACGAGACATCAGCTCTGGTAATGTTTTCTCCAGTAGCTGATACAGACATACATTACTCCCTTCTCTACGTAAAACTTCCTCAAATTGTTCATGAGATTTTCGTACCAGAAACTTGCAGCGAATCAGAATGGTTTGCAGTGGATGTTCCTACTGTGTTTAGTCAGCTAGGAATGGTTCAGCTCTCGTCCCTATACCCTGCTTCAAGTTACGCTATTTGTATAGAAACTTACGATCCTGTACACAGAAATCTTGCTAGAAGTAAAATACTAAGTTTTAAGACTCTTGTTGGCAAACCTGAACCTCCTTTCATTTCGGAACTAGTTGCTTCATCGCCTGACGTCGTGGTTATTCGTTGGGTAAATCACAAGAACTATATATCTCATATCTCACATTATGAACTGGATGTTAATTTGATTGAGATACATTCTAAAGATATTTTGGCAAGAGACCATTGCGTAAATAAGGACGAAAGTTACTATGAAATAGAATTTTCACGACATGCCGTAGTTTTGAGACCACCTCCTAGCTATGAAAAAGGTTGTGAATCAATGTGTGGAGTACTTTCTTCAGTAACAGAAGGGGCTATGACAGAAGAGTACTTTGAGGTGTGCAATGAATATGATATTGAATGTGGATTTGAACACAATATACGAAGCAATAAAAGCTTCGGAAAGTACGTTCAAAGCTTAGCCATAGATATAAAAGGCCCGAGGAATGATTTCCAAATAGGAGGTTTAGCACCATTTAGAGATTATAAGTTTAAGTTGCGAGCATGCACTGAAAATTCTTGCAGTAGATCAGCTCGGAGTGTTGTAAGAACGCTTAGCAAAGACGGGGCAGATATACCTTCTATTACTGTAATAGAAGCTAATTTAACTGGGTATGTTACTGTGTATTGGAATCCACCTTTGACTTCAAACGGCCCTATATTATCATACACTGTTGAAGTTTTACCGAGTATCATTTTAAATGATTTTAACAATCTTTCACCACAAGTGTGGTGCATATCCAATAATACGACTAACTTGACTGTCAAATCAGAAATAGCTATGAAATATATTATAAGGGTCTGTGCCACCACCTTGGGTTCAAGTAAATCATGTACTGGTTTGAAAAAAGTTTATGTTTCTTTAAAACGCATCCCAACTTGGTGGTGGACTGGAATATTATTTGGTGTCATTCTATTTTTCGTTTCAACTTTGGTTGGTTGGTTATATAAAAATAGAAGGAACTACATAGATAGGATACCATTGATCGACAATAGGTTGAGTTACAGGAATGAAACAGAACCTCCGAGTTTTATGATGACAGATCTGGCTCCAATCTACTCTATTCCATTGCGTGATACTCGATTAGATTAAAAGTAAACATAATTATAAGGAAAGTAGCAAATATGGAAAATAAGTGTTAAATGGTTAATAAATATAGATATTTTTTGAAAAATCTATGCAAATTATAATTTTTTTTAAGAAAATATCAATTTATTTGTGTTTTTATATGAATATGGAATAAGGGCGACAAACGAGCACACAGACCACCCGATGGTAAGTGGATGATGTGGCCCATAGACATCTAAATTTATCCTCAATGAAGAATCAAAACGCAGCTGCGTTGTAACCTTGAGGACTAGGATGGAATGCCCTGTTTCCAGTGAAAAAGGATCTCCGGATCTCTACACTCACCATTTGAAACACAACAGTATTAAGCTGCTATTTTACGCTGGTGTTCTGTGAGAGCGTGATATAGCTTCAGGGTGGCTCTACCACGTACGAACGTCTATACTTATAAACCGATTTGAAGTGACTATCTATAATATCGAAATAACTACCTTATATTGAGCTGCGGGGGTTATTTACATGTCATTTAGACGTGAATAATCATTTTTAAAGTGCTTGTCTGTCTGTTTAGGATAATCTTCGGAATGGATGAACTGGTTGTAATAAAACTTCACGAATAGATAGAGAGCAATGTGTGGAGTCGTCTAAGCTTTGTTTTATTCGAAAAACTGGAGTTTAAAAAAGAACGAAAATTGATAAAATAAATGGCCTTTAATTATCTTAAATCTAAAAACCCCACAATAATATAATATAATATAATAAAAAGTGTCATCGAAAGAAAGTTAATATTCGAATAAAAAAAGACGCTTAGCAAATATTAAATTAACCCTTATTTTTGTCTAGCCCGAATAGCAATTTCTTGAATTAAATATTTAGAGCTAGGAGGAATAAAGGAACGCTAAATGTCAGCCTCTCATCGCAACCGCAGCCATTTGTAAAACGGTGCACCATAATGATTAAAAGACGATATTTTGTTGTACAACTTATTATTGATATTGATCGAGTGTACCAGTTGTTGATTGTGATTACCAAGTATGGCATTTCCAGTGCAAGAGTTTTGGATGGAGTATCAGTGGTGGGTATTAGCATTAATTTGAAGAAAAAAAAATACAATGGTAAATCATTGTGAAGGCCGTTGTAAAGTCCAATGTTGAACTTAGAAAGGCTCATGAAGAAGAATAATAAAAATTGATGATAAAGGTCCACTGTCGCAGTAGTGAAGGTTTATCTTACCCGTCACGCTTGGCAGGCAGATTGATGATCAAACTACCAGACGTTATGTAACTTTGACGCTACTTCCCATCACCGGTCTGGATTTTACGTGATGGTCAAACGAGATGGTTTTACCGTCACCTATAGGAATCTATAAGGTCATTCTGATATATACCATAGTCCCTTTTTACGACCCCCACGATGATGAATTCTCTTATCTTAATCTAAATAATAATAATAATAATAAACATTTATTTCTCCCACTTTTTACATAGTTACAATAATTTCATAAATAGTTAAAGAGTTTTTGAGTAGTAGTGGGAGACAGGAACCCAAACTAGGTTACCCTGTGCTATGGGTCTCCTGGCTCCCCATCTTGGCTTTATTACATACTTTTCGATTATACTGTTCTTAGACATGAAGTGAGCGTTGCATGTGGAGATCGGATATGAGATTTCCAAAGTGTAATTTACAATTAAAGTCATATAGAATAAATATAATATGCAATATGTTTTAAATGATAATAATAAAAGTATATAATCAAAATTTTATATAAATATATATATACACATATATAAATACATACATATATATATATACATATACAAACATACAAATATACGTGTGCGCGAGTGTGTGTGTGTGTGTGTGTGTGTGTGTGTGTGTGTGTGTGTTTGTGTGTGTGTGTGAGTGTGAGTGTGTGTGTGTGTGTGTGTGTGTGTGTGTGTGTGTGTGTGTGTGTGTGTGTGTGTGTGTGTGTGAGCGTGTGTGTGTGTGTGTTTTCGTAATCTAGTTTCATAAGCCAATCTGTTAACTTTTTCTTACATTTATATTTTGTTAGTTGAAAAATTGAATGTTTTTTATTTACCTTATTATATAACCTGCCTATTCTGTGCCCATAAAACTTTTGGGCGAAAGTAGATTTTGCTTGTATCGTTTCACATACCTCATAATTTCTTCTCCTAGTTTGTAGTAAATTAGGTGTATACACAGTGCAAGTGTGTTTTTTTAAAATTGAATACAACATGTATAATTTTCGTACTGTAAGCACGTTAGCTTCATGGAATAAACTGGTTGTTGAGAAAAAATTTTGGTTTATAAAGTGCAACTTTTAAAATCATTCGTTGAGCTCTTTCCAATTCAAGCATGTGTGTTTTATGAACCTACCCAAACAGTAATACCGTAAGTTAATATAGATTGGCACAAGGATATATAAATAGTTTTTAGCAATATCCAGTTTGTGACATGTCTTAAGTTTTTAAAAATGTACGTTAGTTTTCTGACTCTTTGGGTTAAATTTCCTATGTGTGCTTTGAATTTAAGATTGTTATCTATTGTTATTCCTAAATATTTGATTTCTTGTGTATTTATTATATTAAGAGCCCAGTCTTTCAGAGCAAAACAGAAAAATTGCGTTCTGGTGACACATCTACACCCTCCCTGCCCCGCCACTTCATGTACCGCCACCGCAGTTATCTTTCTGGCCGTAGCGTGGAAAGTTGCTCTACTAAGATTTTCCAGTATCAATTTATCTAATATACAGGATTATTGATAATTAGCTAACAAATTTTCACATACAGATTTTCTACCTCGTATCTATTTTTGTTCCATGCTTTTATTACAAAATTCGTTACACAAAAAAAAATATTTTAAGTTTGTATAATTTTTGTTGTTTTGTTGAAAAGGTTTCTAAAAGATAATCATCTAGAACCTGTATAATATGTACTCGTATTATTGATTATTCAAATGAATCTGGCAAGTGCTAGAATGAGTCGTGCACTGAGGGTTTCGTAATAAGTCGATGACACTATCGAAAATCCGTCAAGTACGTCAAGTAGTTCTAAATACTAAAATAGATTAAAAAAAAACTCAAAATAATTTCTATATAAGTACAAACAGTCATATACACATTTATAGTTTCTCATTAAAGTATAATGTAACTTTGTATAGCATTTACCTATATGCATTACAAATATGCAACTCATTTATAAACTATTCTTAAAAGTACCTACCTAATTATATACCTAATATTTAACCAAGTGCTCACACATATGCACGTTGTTAACTATTTTACTATGAAACACAAAAAAACTTACCTTTGAAGTCTATTTCTGTTCATTGCTTCAACGTTTGATTTCAATTTTCGTTTTCTGGTACAAGCATATTTTTTACGTTTATGGTCCATATCGAAATTAAAAGTTATAAAACAAATACAAAATGATTTATAAACCCTTAAAGAATTATATGCAAAAAATAATAAAGTAGAGCAACTTTCAATTCGTAACAATGCGCAACCAAGATTAGGGAAAGAGAGAAAGAGGAATGTTAGAGCGAGAGGAAGTGCAAAAATTTGGCACAGACAAGACGTCTGAACGCCACAGCCGCTCAGCGGCTACTAAGGAATATTGCCCGCAATTATTGTTTATAAAGTCAATATTTTATAGGTCGATCGAAATAATTATTAATTTTGAAATAAAGTGGTTTAAATTATTATTTTTTAATATTTGTCTAATTAAACACCTGCCCTTGAGAAAAAAATAATTATAGCATAAATATTTTCAGCTATTGCTATGAAACAAATAGTTTTTTATGAGGCGAAAACAGCGAAATTTAACGAAATTGAGACCTCTTATTTAAGACAATGAAAGATATTTAGAAAAAAAGAAACAGCGCATTTTGGAGATGAAGATGTTTAGCTATTAACGCGCTGAATAGATTTCGCCTTTTTATTATCGATTGCCTTATAATGGTACACGAACAAAGCTCGAAATTGCGTTGGGTGCGAGAGAGCTCTATTTACCGTTTGATTTATCTAACATAGACCACATAGATGAACCAAAAAAAAAAATTTAGCCATTACTTATAATCTGGGTATTTATGTGTTATCAAAATATTTTACTCTGAAACAATAATTTGCTGTAAAAAAAGAAATCAAAGTGGCGCTAATGATTCGATGTGAGTCAACTTTAAAAGACTGTAGCCTTAAAGAAGTTGCAGTTTGTTCTAGGAAATTGAAAACATGAATGAGCTATAATTTTATAATTGCTAATATATTTTGGTAATTTTCGAATAGAGAACGTAATATATTTGGTTTTATCAACATTAAGTGAAAGTGAATTTATGGCTAGCCACTGAAAAACGGTATTAAAACCTTCTTGTGCAATGTTAAAAACCTCTTCCCATGAATCCCCATAAAAAGTTAGTGTAGTATCATCGGCATACGATATTATTTTACAATTTTTTATATTTAAATCACAAAGTTCATTAATGTAGCACAAAAACAGCGTTGGGCCAAGTATACTGCCACGTGGGATGCCGTAACTAATGGGTTGTTCATCGCTTACTATGTTTCCTATCCGAACGCTCTGTGTTCGATTATGTAAATAATTCATAAGTAGTTGTAACTGTTTGTCCCTTATGCCCATCATTTCTAGTTTTTCAGAAAACTTAGCGAAAGAAACTGTATCAAACGCTTTTTTGAAGGTCAATAAAAATGGTTAGGCATTTTTTTTTACTATCCAATTTTTCAACAATAAAACTAGTTAAGGCGTGTACAGCATCAGTTGTTGACTTTCCCTTTCTAAAACCGAATTGAGATTTTGAAATTATATCATTTGCATCCAGATATTTGATAAGCCTACAGTTAATAATCTTTTCAAAGATTTTAGAGAGGGAAGGTAATATTGAAATAGGACGATAATTTGAGATACAGCCTCTTTCGCCAGTTTTAAATATGGGAATGACTATAGACTTTTTTAGTGAGGGAGGAAAGATGCCTTTTGATATACATACATTAAAGATATGTGGAAGGG